ATTGTACACAATACGCCAGGTGCAGCCTTACCAATGCAGTGTATCTTGTGATCTGGATGTTATGCCTCTGTTGATACACCCCAAGATCACATTAGCCTTTTTTGTTGCTGCATCACACTGGCTGCTCATATTTAACTTTTGGTCCAACCATACCCCAAGATCTTGTTCACACACACTGCTACCCCATTTTCCCAATCTCCACCCTCCTGTCAGTGGTACAACCCAGAACAAAGGTTGCTGTTTCATTCTACTGAGCAGAGGGGTCCCCAACATTTTTTTCAAGGCTGTGAATCCAGCCCTTTCTCGCATGGCCAAAATTCAGCAATTTTCCATCGGGGAGGGGGAGCTATAAGAACAATCTCACACTTGAGGCTGCCAACTTTTCGGCTGGTCTCAGTACTTTATTGGGAGCAAGTAGATCTAATGTAGGGGTCCCTTCCTGGCCCATAGCCACGGCGGGGCTATTGGGGGCATTGCCCCCTCCCTTAAAGGGATAGCCCCACAATATTTTCTTCAAAAGAAAGATTTTAAAATAATTTTAAAAACATTTTTAAAAGGCGCATGCTCTCTGGCCACACTGCAGCCAGCTGCACACCAAACAGACCTTCCCCACATATGGGGGGGGAGGAGAGGGCGGGAGGGAGAAGAGGGGGGAGGGAATAGAGGGAAGTACACTTATTTACAGACAATATTTTTTAAAGTTTTTATCTGAAAAATAATGGCAGCCCCACCAGGGGAAAAAATTGTCCCACAAGCCACAAAATCCTGGTCCCTCCCCAGACTTTTGGGCCTTGTGGATGTCTTTGGGACTCCTGACACAGCATGGTGGGCCCAGCCACAAAACGGCTGCGCCAGCCTACTCTCAGCCACATAGTGAGGATCCCTGTGCTGCGGCTGCAGTTGCTGCCAAATAACCTTTTTGTAGAAATCGGACAAGCCAATCAAATCTCCAGCGGCCAACCAGAAGCCTTGCTGGGCAAAGGGCCCTCCTGGCCCTGCCCACTTTCTAAAAAGCACTTGGGGGCAGTGTTCCCTCTAAGCTGAGTTAGTGTGAGCTAGCTGACAGTTTTTTAGCCTCCGGCTCACACGTTTTTGCCTTAACTCAGGAAGGATGGCTCCAGAGCAGTAGCCAAATTGCTCGCTCACAACATTAGTGCCAGGAGCTCACAAGATAGAATTTTTGCTCACAAGACTTAGAGGGAACATTGCTTGGCGGGTGCTAGAAAAGGCATTGGTTGGCACCACGGTGCCCATAGCCCCACATTAGGGACCCCTGGTCTAAAAGAATGAGCTGACAAAGCTTTTCACTGCATGGCCATAAAACTAGCCCGCCATAAAGGACAGAGCTACTGAACGGTTGGCAGCCAGATCTCCAGCCTCCCCTCTGACAGCTTTTCTGCAGGTTTCTGAGACCTTGCTGAGGGTTGAGGCCTCTGGACTCTCAAGGGGGAAGGCTACAGCCGACTGCCTCTCTTCACCTCCACTTCGCTGCTCATTTCCACAGATATGAGAGGGCCGTTTCCAGCCCCTTTCCCAGCCAGACCAGAGGGGGAGGAAGGAAAGCAAGCAAGGAAATTAGATTGGAGCAACCAACCTTGGCAGGAAGTATTAACTCTCCTTTACAGCTCTGCTCCCTCCATGTCACTTCCTAATAGCTCTGGCCTCAGCACATATTCCTTAGATGGACCATAACAATCCATGGACAGATTTTCCACAACAGACACCTTTGGGTAGTGAAGGGCGGGATATAAATCCAATCTCCTCCTCCTCCTATATATATATTAATGGTGGGCACTAGTATGGAGGCACACTCTCAAAGCTAAGGAGACAGATTTTCCCTGGGAAAGGAATTCTTTGCTGTGTGCCAGCGGAAATGCATTTCTCCCCCACGTATTGTAGGTCTAAGCCTGGCTTTGAACAGATCTGTTGGTACCATCACTGTCCTACCCTTCCTCCAAGGAGCTGCACAGATCAATGTTTTAACTGCACAACAGCACTTCAAGGAAGGCCAGGCTGAAAGAGCAAGACCTCCCAGTGATCTCTATGGCTAAGATGGGATTTGAACTCAATACCTTTGCCAGGTCCAGTATGCAAGCCACCATTCTGCACACTGATTTCATAGAAATAGATTAGGGGATGGGGAAAAAAACATTGCTGCCCAGATGGAGTCCAAGCGCTTGGTTAATAACACTATTGCAATATAGCTACAGCTTCCCTGCACACCAAATCAGTAGGGGACAAACTCATTTATCGACTTCATTTCCCCCCAGTGGGGACACGAAGTGCCTTGAACCCCTCTCCCTGCTTCCATTTTATCTTCTATTTAGTCTCTTTAGTTTCTCTTCTATTTAGTCAGGTAGGGAAACCTGGAGATTTGGGGAGTGGCGACTGAGAAGGGCAGAGCTTGGGTCATTTAGAACATAAGAACATAAGAGATGCCAATGTTGGATCAGGCCAAAGACCCATCCAGTCCAACACTCTGTGTCACACAGTGGCCAGAAATACCAGGTGCCATCAGGAGGTCCACCAGTGGGGCCAGGACATTAGAAACCCTCCCACTGTTGACCCTCCCAAGCACCAAGATGACAGAGCATCACTTGCCCCAGAGCCCCTATCTATACCTTGTGGCTAATGGCCACTGATGGACCTCTGCTTCCATAGGGTATAATGCCACAGAGTTCACCTTCCAAAGTGGCCTTTTGGTTCTCCAGGGGAACTGATCTCTATCACCTGAAGGCAAGGTATAATCCCAGGAGATCTCCAGCCACCACCTGGAGGTTCACAACCCTGCTTTAGTCCCAGTGAAGTCAACAGAAGTTACTGAGGCAGCCGATTTCCACCCCTATAATTCTAGCAGGTGCATGTTAGCAACTGAAGCCCGTTTTTTTTTTAAAGTTCTCCTAATAAATCCCTGCTTGTCATAGAAATGTTTGAAAACACGGGCACCTCTTTATGCACAGAGAGAGACATCTCAAGGAACATCTGGGCCTAACTCCTCGTTCAAGCCAACATGAAGAACACAAAGCCAGAAGAACCATGGATTGGCCCCTTTCTTTGTCCCAGAAGCTCTGTGCTTTGAACTGCTGTATAGCAGACAAAGACACCAAATTCACTTTCTAGAACTTTTTGACAGGTGCCAGGAACTGGGTTGGTGAGGGGCCCTGGCACCCACGGGCACCACCACTGGAGACTTCTGTTGTATAGCATGACTGGAGAGACCCCCCCCTAACTAAGAGACCATCAGAGAAGACAATACTGAGCTCAATGCATTAATATTCTGACCCAGAGGGTAGCATCATGTATTCATAACCAAAGTGGGCTGCAGTTCAATAAGTCTACACGGCTCTCAAGTAGAAAACCATTTATTTTACATACCGTTGGCACGTCGAAGAAGCTGATTAATAACTTAGCATGCATAAGTAGAGATATTTTCTCTCTCTTTATAAATACAATGTACAAAAATAAAGACAATACAGTCCTCTGCCAGAGATTCCCAGCAGTTCATCCCTTTTATGGCCTACGTTTTCCCAGATTGCTTGTTATAGAATAAGCACAAAAACTCTCAGTACTGGTGCTGTGAAAGAGCATCACCTCCAAGAGGGAGAAGTCAAGTTTCTAGTGTCATCGTTTAACACTGTTGAGTCTTGTGACCTACGTTCAGGAGGACATAAAGTGGCCCCCTTCACTTCCACGGGTGGAACTGGAATGAACACCTAACAGAAAGGGAGAGTGAAATATTTGGCTGGTCGACGACATTACCTGTGTGGTTTCTCCGTCCTGGCTTGCTATCGTTGGGAGTTGAAATGCAGCAGCAAAGTAGTATGAGCAGATCATAGATCCAAGTCGATGTGCTCTCCCAGAAGGCAACCCATTTTTATAAACCCCCCCCAAATCCTTGATTCTGCAAACTTTAGAAATTCTGAAAATGAAGCAAATGTGTGCATGATTTCACCTGCTTGCCAGGGAGACAGGTGGGAAAGAACCGATGTGGGGCTCCCACCCTACTGGCTGGAGCAAATTTGGGGATACCCTCATGACCGGATCATTGTGAGAGATGGGAGAGATCCTCTTGGGGGGGGGGCGAGAACAGCTGACCAAGGGCACAAGCAGAGGTGTGGGTGTCAAAGCTGGGTCAGCAGAGGGGGAATAAGAACCTAGGAGAAGCCATGTTGGCTCAGGCCAATGGCCCATCCAGTCCAACACTCTTGCGTCACACAGTGGCCCAAACCCAGCGGCCATCAGGAGATCCACCAGCAGGGCCAGAACTCCAGAAGCCCTCCCATTGCACCCCCCACCCCCAAGCACCATGTGCGTCTGTAATTGGGGATGGATGGGAGTGAAGAATGGGGGTAGATGGTGGGACTGGGCAACCACGGGTCAGGCAGGCGGCTCTGCCTGTGGCTTGTAGGGGCGTGAGAGGGCTGTCAAAGTGCCGAGAGCAACCAAGACGGAGGAGGGAAGATGTCCCGGTGAGGAAGGCAGAGACTTGGGGTAGGGAGGGCTGAGTAGTGGGGGGGAGGTATTGCACCCTAGAGAGGCAAAGGGGGTGTCGTTCTAAAACTTCCCACATGGTTTGAGGCAGCCAACAGATGGAGACCCGGGCCAGGCCAGCCGGGGCCTTTACCAGAGGGGGCTGGGATAGGGTTGCCAAGTCTGGGTTGGAAAATACCTGGAGACTTTGGGGGTGGAGCCAGAAGAGGGCGGGGTCTGGGGAGGGGAGGGGCCTCAGCATAGTACAATGCCATAGAGTCCACCCTACAAAGCAGCCATTTTCTCCCGGGGAGCTGATCTCTGTCGGCTGGGGATCAGTGGTAAAAGCGGGAGATCCCCAGGCCCCACCTGGAGGCTGGCAACCCTAGGCTGGGAGCAGTTAAGTCTCAGCGGTGGCACCCCAACGCCCCCTGGCTTTAGCCAGCGGGCAGCCGCGAGATCTTTGGGCGGCAGAATCTTGTGGGGAGCTGGAGTCCAGGGAGTGGCTGGTCCGAGGAGCCCAGGAGGACTTAGGGAGCTGCTGGGGGTGTGGGCAGCGGCGGGTGGCCTCCCCCAGGCCTGCTCCGGGGCTGCCTCCCGTCCTCGTCCCCGTCGGAGCAATCTGGAGAGCCGTAGGGGCAGCAATGTCCGGGCCGTTCTTCGTCCTCGTCCTCCTCGTCCTCGTCCTCCTCCAGGTCACTGTCCCTGAGCTCCCGCAACCGGCGGCCTCCGGTGCTCTTCTCCGCCCCGCCGGGAGGCAGCGGCAGCTCATCCCCCGCCCTGTCCTCCCCAGGGCCGCCTCCTTTCTGCTTCTCCGCCTCCTGCGCCGCCTGCTCCTTGGCCTTCTTGCTCCGTTTCCACTTCATGCGCCGGTTCTGGAACCAGATTTTCACCTGGGGGAGAGGGAGGAGGGGTTACTACACACCGGCGGGAGAGGGGAGCCCCTCCCCAGGATTCGACCATGGAAGGCCCTGCAGTGGCCTTTTCCTACGAGGCAAGGCTGAAGAGTCTGAGACGTTGCAGTTTAGAAAAGAGCCAACTAAGAGGGGACACGATAGAGGTTCATAGAATTATCCATGGGGTGGAGAGAGCTGACAAAGAGACGTTTTTCTCCCTCCCCCAAAATACTAGAACTCGAGGGCATCCGAGGAAGCCAATGGGCAGTAGGTTCAGGATGGACGGAAGGAAATACACCATGACACCGAGAGTGTTTAAAATGTGGACTTGGCTGCCAGAGGATCTAGTGATGGCCACAGGAATAGACAGCTTTAGAAGAGGGCTAGTTAGGTAAGACCTCTCTGACCTGGGTATCCCAGGCTCGCCCAGTCTCTTTAGGTCTTGGAAGGTAAGCAGGGTCGGCCCTGGCAAGTATTTGGATGGGGAGCCTCCAAGGAAGCAGGACCGGCCCCAGCTTATTTTGCACCCTAGGCGAGGATCCCTTCTGCCCCCCGTGCGCCCACCAATTTTCAAAAATAAATGCATTTTAGGAAGAATTAAAAACACAAATAATCAAGAAACTCCCAGAGTATGGGGCCGGGTGCAGTTTGGCGCCCCTAAGGGCCATCCCACTCTAGGCGATTGCCTAGTTCGCCTAGTGAGTGAGCCGGCCCTGCAAGGAAGTCCAGGGTCAGGACACGGAGGCAGGTCACGGCAAACCACCTCTGGATATCTCTTGCCTTGAAAAGCCTATGGAGATGTCATAGTTCAGCTGTGACTTGACTGCAAAAAAAAATAATCCATATTCACAGAGGATAGGTCTATCAGTGGCTACTAGCCGTGGTGACGGAGGGGAACCTCCACATTCAGAGGCAGTCAGCCTTTGAATCCCAGTGCCAGGAGGCAACATCAGGGGAAGGCCTCGGCCTCTGTGCTGGACTAGATGGACGGCTGGTCTAATCCAGCGGGGCTCTTCTTATGTTTTTACGCCAAGACTTAACTGGGTTGAGGGTTCTTTCCCAAGGCCTGTTCTGACTAGGCTGACCTGGCTTAGCTTCTGAGATCTGCTGAGACTGAGCTAGCCTGGGCTAGGCCAGAGCAGAGGAAGGAAGACCAACCCCAAAATAACAGTAATCTTAGAACGTGCCACGGAAGCTTGCTGGGTAACCTTGAGCCACAGGCACACTCAGACTAATCTACCTTGCAGGGTTGTTGTGACAATAAGATGATAAAACGGAGGAGAGGAGGGATGGTGTAAGCTGCTTTGGGGTGAAAGGCGGCATATGAATAAAACTAAGTACATAATCCCTGCATTGCGCAGAGGGTTGGACTAGATGACCCTGGGTGTCCCTTCCAACTCTATGATTCTGTGCTTCTAATTTTTTTTTGAAGTAAATAAATAAAAAGCATCCCCCTCCCCCATGGCCAGTGGCACCCGAGCACTGGGCAAAAGCTAACCTGGCTCAGCTGGAAGCCCCTTCGGGCTCAAGGGGGCGCTCTTTCAAGCAGGGCGCTCCTGCCCGGCAGAAGACCGGCTCCCCGGTGGGGGGAGACTAGAGCAGCCCCCGTGGCGGCCTTGGCTCCCCCACTCTCAGCCCCCCCTTTCTCCCACCTTTTCCGCGCCCCCCTTTCCCCCCCCCCCCCGCCGGGCCCCGGCCTCACCCACCTGCGTCTCGGTGAGCATGAGCGAGGTGGCCACCTCGAAGCGCTTGGGCCGGGACAGGTACTTGTTCAGCTTGAATTGATGCTCCAGCTCCAGCAGCTGCTGGCTGGTGAAGGCGGTGCGCGGCCGGCGGCACTTGCCCAGCAGGTTGGACTGCGCTTGGGCTGCGGAGAGGGAGGGAAGGAAGGAAGGAGAGAAGGGGGGGGAGCAGAGAGAAGAGGCGGCCCAGGGAGGGAGGGAGCCTACCCAGCCCGGGATTCCGCCTCCGAGGGGGACCACCACCGCAGCCCCGGGGAACGGTCGTCGTCCCCCCCCCCCCCGGGACGCCCCAGTCGGAGACCCGGGCTGAAGACTCGCGGTTAGATTTATCCCTTAGTGGCGCTAGAAGTCCTCTTGCGGGCCTGTTCTGCTGGCGTGCGTTCACGATTCTCGAATGGTGCATGATTTTGTAGAAATCAGTTGAAATGGTTTAAAGGGCGTTGTTCTTTTAACGGAGCACGGTTTGCGAGTCCTTAAAGCACCTTAAAACCCAACCAGACATCCGGGGTATTATCAGCTTCCTCCTGCCTCAGCGCGGACTCCAACCTCGCTCTCCTAGGCGGCTCCCCACTGAAACCAGGGCTCTTTCGTGGTGTGTCCCCTCCCACCTAGGGGTGCATAACGCTAAAAGAGCTAGACCTTCTTGCTGCCAGACAATCTTAGGATCTCCTGGTGATCCTATGGACTATCCTGGTCTTGAATGCATTTTTTAAATCATTTCCTTCCGGAGTCTCAAAGAGAAAGGTGGATGAGAAAGATAGGAAACAAACAAGCAGACGCACAAATTGTTTGATTCGAGTCCAGAAGCACCTTTGAGAGCAACAAGAGTGAGCGGGTATCAGCTTAGATTCAGGTGGGGAGGAGCCGCGATGGTCTGAAGCAGCAGAACAAAGTTGGAGACCAGGGGAACCTTGAAGACCCACAAAGGTTAATTCTGGGTAGAAGCTTTCGTGTGCTCCCACGCTTCTGCAGACACATTGAAACAGACATCTCCAACCATTATATATGGTAGAGGATGGGGGAAGGTGTGTTGGCAGGAAGGGCCAATTAGAGTCACGATGCATAAGTAACTGGGCAATAAATATAGCTCAGACCGGACCTGTGAATAGCAGCAAATTAGCATACAGAATAATTGTTCTTCAGTATTTACTGGGTTAATGATGTTTGTTAAATCACATGTTTGTTTGTAACCAATCAGTTTAGAGAGTTAGAAAGCCCGGTAACTTCAGATCTAGTTTGTTGTTCTGACTGGAGACCAAAGTGCCAAGTATTAGCATTTTATGGTTCTTTGTCCTGAGCAAGAAGAAGTTAGTCTTCGCTCTCTTCTGCCATGTTCTGTCTAGCTGTAAGGATGTAGGAATATTAGCTCTTTGTTATTTTACATCCCGTGTACCTTTTCCCCATGCTAGGTTGTAGTAAACTTTTATATTTAAACACACCATGGACTCTGCCTCTTTAATACTCTGCTGATTGCTCTGCTGATTCACTTTAAAAATTAAGAGTACCCAACAATAATAAAAGATACATATAAACGGATGCCGAACTGAATGAAGATAGCATATGTAGTGTCATAAGAAACCAATATCGCTGTTAAGCCCTGGGGGTTCCATTGTCCCCAGTGTTGTAATAACTTGTAACGCAGCAATCTCCCATTCCTGTAATCCCTTTCGAGAGCCAAAGCTCCCTCGCTGAGGCACATAAACGGGGGTCCTCTCGCGGTGAACTGCGAGGCCCTGCTCATTCGCGCCCTAGCTCTTTTTTGGGGGGGAAATAAATTTTAATTGTTTTTACATTTCGGAAAAAGGTCCAGAAGCGTTTTAGTGTGCCAAGAAGGAATGCCTGTAGATGAAGATGGGCGGCCGTGTCAGTCTGCCTTTAGCAGCAGCAGCAGCAGCAAAGAACCAGAGTCCAGCGGCCCCCGGAAGACTGGCGGACTCTGTGGCCGGGGAGAAGCTCTCGGGAGTCGCCGGCCGCTCTCCCTTCCGCAGAAGCGGCGGGTGCGGCGAAGCCCTCGGAAAGCGCGTCGGCTCGAAGGACGGCCCGGCTGGCTGGTCTCGGCGCCCGGCAGAGAGGCGGCGGCGGCGGCGGGAGGGCAGGCGCGGCCTTCCCTTCCCTTCCCGGGGCCAAGAGACTCCTGGGGGGGGGGAGAAGACTTCGGCTTCCCTTCGGCCTCCCCAGCAGCAGAGAGAGCCCCGGAACCCGGCTTGGCCTCCCGGCCCGGCCGGCCGGCTTCTCTCGGGCGGGAAGGCAGGGGGGGGAGCGGGGGGGGCTGCCGCGGCCCCCTCCTCCGGCAAAGCCCCCCCCTCCTCCTCCTCCTCGGCCGGGCCGGGGACTTCAAAGGGGAGGCGCGGCCCCCGCGGGCTTTGAAGGCCTCGCTTTGAAATCTTCCTGGGGGCGCCCCTCCGCCTCCGGCGCCGCGCGCGATCCCGCCGGGGCTTCGGAAAGGCGGCGACCGGCGCCTCTTCCCGATCTCTCTCTCCGCCTCCCCGAATCCCCGCAATGCGCCCCCCTTTCCAGCCAGCCCCCTATGCGGGAACTCCCGCCATCGGCTTCCCGAGAGCCTTTCCGCGCGGCTCCCCAGAGGCCTTTCTCCGGCCCCCGAGCCGAGCCGTGTGCCGAAGGGCCTGGCCCCGGGGGAAATCCCGTGGCCTGACCCAGCGGGGAAGCGGGAGCCGGCCTTTGTTGGGGGGTGGGGGTGGGGCGCCCTTCTGTTCCCACCATCCCTTGATTTCCCCCGGGGGGCGGGCGGGTCAGATCCTGACCTCAAGGGAGCCGCGCAGGGCAACGCAGACAGGTGTGTCGACGCCCCCTGGAAACCAACAGGAGGGCTCTCTCCCTCCCCCCCCCACGACCCGAGGCCCGAAGGTTTAATTAAAAGGGACTCCAGAGGGAGGAGACCGGAGTTCCCCCGAGAGCCGGCTCCGGAATCCGAGATTTTGGAAGCGGAATCCGATTTGTGCGGCAAATGCTTCGTGTGAAAACGGAGAAGTGAGCGAGTCAGAGGCTGGGACGGACGGATTGGAGGAAAGAGAAATAATTATTTCTGTTTTATATTTTTTTCCAAAACCAGAAAGAATTATTTCGGTTTTCTTTCCAGAAATAACTGGGATCGTGCTCCCTCCTCTTGTTTGCCTTGGGGAAAACCCGCCAGGAAAGGAGACCCGCCGCGTTCGTCGGCCGCAGCAAAATGTAAACACAGGATTGGTTCTTCCAGACAGGGAACTGGACCACCGGACGTCCTGGGAAGAATTGGGCCTGCCACCCAAGTAACGGGCAAAATATCTGGGCATTTCCTTTTTGGGGATGTCAGCCAGATCAAAAGCGAACTCTTGAAATTTCGACCGATTCAACGAATATAAAGCGGAATCGAAATCGCATTGAGGAGCAACGAAGAAGACGAGAAAGTTCGAAGGGGCTGACGGGCTGCGAAGCGCCCGCTGCTCTCCGCCGCGGATCCTTCGGGGAATCCGATCCTGCCGGCCGCTGGGCAACACAGCAGAAGGAAACAGAAGAAAACAGCTATCTGGCTGGACCGGGTTCTCCCCCTCCCCATCCTTTTTTGGGGGTGAGCGTTCCTGGTGTTCAAAGCCAGCTTGGAAAGAGCCTGGAAGAAAACTGGACGAGAAAGAACTATTCGGACCCGAAGCAGCAGTCAGTCAGCAGATTCCCTGAGCTAGACATGTCAGGGACCGGCCTTCCCAGGGCTGGGATCCTCCGCGACGCAGCCCCTCCTGAAACCCAGCGCTTGTGCAGCCCGGCGCAACCCCGTCCCGCAAGATCAGTAAACCCCAGCCTACCCCACCCCAGCCCCACGCCTGTTCTTCCTGAACCCGGGGGAAGGGAAGCGCCTCTCTTGGCGCGTCCAGGCCAAAGGAGGGAGCATCCAGCCGACGCCCTGAAGGCTGCCCTGGTTTCAATGAAGCT